GGATTACTTTAGATTACTTTGAAATATGCATTGTTTGAAATGGCCTCTGGTGACCAGCTTTCATGAATGGCTGATTTTTCTTGTGGGGCACGTCATCTGCTTAATTATATCAGCCTCCTTTGTATGACAAGTGCACTTCTTGTTTGTGCTGAAATATGAAGTTTTAAAATAAATTAAATGGTGAGAAAATACATTTAGGAAATGGAGTTAATAGAAGTATGTAACTTAACAAGAAAGCACTTTTCTTGTGCTAGATATGGTAGAAGTTTTCCTTAAACTATTGTTTCATGTAGTGCATAGTTAATATAAAATATAAAGCTTGAATTGTTTTGATTTTTAAAGGATTGATTCAGCTCTAGCTCTATAGCACTGAAGTAAAAATTACTCCCCCCCCAGTAAGCTGATTTTCACACAACTCTGCATTTTGAGAATTTCATTGAAATTTGGAATTGCCCATAATTACTATGGTAGAGCAACTAGAAATCTCCTAATAAAAATGCTCTTTATTCTATACAATTATAAAAGTGGGTTAGAAAAAATACATGATTACAAAGGAGTCCAGGCTTTTCCCTTTTCAAATCAGCTAGTGGCAATCTCCTGTCTGCGGTTGTTTGTGAAATTATGCTGTTAAAGTGTAGGTTATGAATCTCTGAGCCTGCAATTACCTTAAATTATAGTTAGTAGATCTATTTATCCAGCCTGATAAACATAATAATGGACAGATTATAGTTTGAAGGTGAGCAGCTAACTTTGATTGACTGGCAAAATATATCATATATCAAATAGATAGAGGCTAGAGCTAGATAGGAACTACATACTTTGTATTTGTTATAAATCCTATGCTTTACAAGGAAGATTAGTGGATTAACCTTTAAGAGAAGGTGCTGGATCCTGCTGTTTCCCGATTTTGTTGTACTGTACAAGTATTTTCCATGGCTTCAGGCTTGATATCCCACAGGAAATTGAAATGCTGCTTTACTCTGTTATGCCTCATAGTCAGTAAGGGATTGCTGTGTTTTTCATTTGTTTGCTTTGTTTTAAGGAGCAAATTTATGCATAGAACCGGAGAAAGGTATTAACACTACTTAACTCATAACAGTAATGTCTGTCAGCATTTTTTAACTGAAGTACTTGAATATAACTCTGGAATTCAGACTTCTTATTTGTATTATTTCTGTGCAATTTGACAGCCCATCAAGGCAATATGTTTGAAAAGAATAATGTCTTCTAAATTACCAGGTTGGTTTGATGCAAATTTAATAAAAAGCCTCACATGACCATTTGTTATATAATGTTACAAGATTTACCTGCTGTTGCTCAGGTCTTCAGGGCAGGTGTCTGGGGATGTAAGGGGTGCAGGAGTCAGGGCAGGGACTTGGGAATATGGATGGCTCAGGGCAGGAGACTCAGGTTGTGTGGGGTGCAAGTGTTAGGGTTGGGAGCGAGAAAGGGCTCAAGGTAGGGGTGGGGGATGCAGGAGTCAGACCAGCGGGTTGGAAGGTGTGTGTGTGTGGTGGGGGGGAATTCAGGAGAGGAGGTGGGGGGCTCAGGGCAGTGGGGTGGAGGGAACCAGGGCTGACCCAGGATGATGGGAATCTGCGCTGCCTGGCCAGTGGCTGCTGCCTGGAACCATGCAGGGGCAGCAGAGGCCATGGTGGCTGGCCAGTGGCTGCTCCCCAGGGCTGTGGCATTCGCTTTCCCCCTGTGTCTTTCCGGGGTATAACTGTTCCTGATGTCACAGACTTCCCTTTCTGTTTGATGAGAAACAGTTGCATTCCACACACATCCCATTGTCCTGGAACAGCTAAATCCTGACTTTGCTTTAAGTTTTATGATAGGAGGAAGTTGCATACCAAATTTGGTGATCCTAGCAATTACAGGTTAGGAGGATTTCTTGAACAAACGAACTCACAGATGGATGGATGGATGGACGGACGGATGATCAGACAGACAGACACAAACACTCTCAAATATATAGCAAATACTTGTCTAATTAACAGTTTCGTGATCCTGGCATAGTATTTAACAACGTACTTGTTATAGACCAAATTGTGTTAAATACTAAGATGAAGGGTCTTGTTTCCATCTGATGTGCACATTAAAAATTAATAGAAGCCATGCATATCTATTGAGGGACAAATTAGATCTCTTCTACCCCATCCTGGTGCTTCTCTGCATGCTAGCTCCCATTTACTTAAATTAATACTGTGCATAACTATATACCACACAATTTGTCAGTACAGATATTTCAGAATCACTGTTGGGTTTTTCTATGGCCTTCAGAGCAAATGACTGAAAGTGATAGGTGGGAAGCATGTAGACTGGCTTCGACTAGGAGCCTGGCTTGCCAAGCCACCCCCAAGCTGGTGCCAGTGAAGATGCTCTCTTTTCCATCCAGCCAGGCTGTCCAATTTGATATTAGACTTGCCATTCAGTGCCTGGCATGCTGGAAGCTGCACCAGTCACTTTGAATGGCTCCTGCAGGCAATATGTAAAGAAAAAAGATCTCTCTTAAAAATCCCTCCTATTTTTGACTTTTTCAAGACCAACTGCTATGTCTCTAAGGACATATCCTCACTCTAAGCTCACTTGTAAGCTCCGAAAGCGTATCCAACATAAACATTGCATCCTTGTCTCCTCTATCAAGCTCTGCATTTTGTCTGGTTTCTTCTTTACTTCCTTTCCTTCTGGAGCTGGAAACCAGCCTGTGAAAGGATAGAAGGTTTTAAAAGGTCACTTTTGAATAAAGACTTGTCTGTGCAAAAGAAAAAAAAGATAGTTATTCAGAGCATTGTGCGTGATCAATTTCTGTGCTCTTGTGCAAGAACACTTAAAAATAAAATTAAGCTTTTTTTAAGATTTAGTTCAATTTAGTTATTTGTCTCTTCCCCCCTTTTCAAGAGAAAAACTATATTAAATAGTTGGAAAGTACTTCATACTTTTATTTCTAGAAAAGGAATTGTCTAACAAGAGTGTTTGCTTCATAATATAAAGAATTAACCCAAAAGGATATTTTTTAACTCACTGACAAACTATTGTAACCCAGATAAGATAACTAACTGTTGGTTTGGACTGTTCTAAATTTTATTAGCACTGAGGTACAATTGTCAGAAACTTGCAATTCCTACTGTGGGGGACTATTCAAACATGTTGGTGCCAGTGTTTGCTCAGTGCAGTGACTTTGCCCAGTGACTTTCTGGGTCAACATTGTCTGGAAAAGTTTGCTGTACAGTACAACTGATATAAGAAACTAAACTTTGACTCTCACTTCACACATCTTTTCAGGCTTTGTGAGGTGACTCAAAGATTTGCTATTTAAAGATCAGACAGGGAAACTGTATTTTTGCTTTTTCATCAAAAGCCTGTGGTGTCTGTCAGAAGAATGCTTACTTCTTCAGCAATCCTGTTCTTTGTCAGCTTTTCTGTGAGCGGGAACAAATATGTGGAAACTAAAGTATTTTTAAAGCTCACTCCAGCCTAATTGCAGACTTCCAGTCTACTTATCTGAGTGTCGTGTAATCGCTGAAATGGCATTTAACACTAGATGCATACTGGCTTTGCATTGCTCTAATGTCAATCATAGACCGGAATGTTTGTTGGTGAACAGACAATGGAAGACGGGATTACTCTGCCCCAGACACATGGATTTTTGTTTTAAAGACACTCACACTCCTCTGGTGTCATTACAGCCTGCAGAGTGAGTGGTATGAAACTGTTTATAGGGTATCTTGTGAAGCTTAAAATAATAGGTGTGTGTGAAAACAAGCTATCCTTCTTCTAGCAGTCTATGTCAAGTTCTCCCTCATAAGATGTATATCACCTTCTTAGATGAGTGATGGATCCCTTTTTCTCCTGTTATGGATTGCTCACATTAAATTAGGTATTTGTCTGCTGTTAGCTAATGCTGCATGCTTAGATATGAAGTCTCAGGTGTGAGAGTGCTGACCTTCTGAGGAATAGTGCTCCATTCTAATTAAGGCTGGTGCGACTTAATTCCCATGCAGACTTTCCCATGTGACTTGCTTTTATTATTATTATTATTATTATTATATTTATTTATTTATTTATTTATTTTTATATTATTATGAGGCTTCTGCAATGCATCTGTAGTCCCAAAATAAAATTTATTAAAAAAATTGCATTCATCATGTTAATGCCCTAAAGTGAGATGGCATTACTCCAGGCTTTTTTCCCATATTGTGTAATGTGATGTTTTCACAAGGCTTCAGTCAGTCATGCAAAAAATGTTGAAGTGTAAGTGGCTAACCTTTAGTCTCAAGACCAATCAATCATTTTCAGTTGCAGGTTTAGATCTGCTGCAGCAAAGCAAAACTTCTGTGCTTGCATCAGGTCTTACAATAGCAAGGCTGTTTGACTGACAAGCACCAAGAGAGGGGTTCTGAGAGGCAGACTGAGCTGACTCTGAAAAGGGAGTATTGAGCAGAAGGGTTTGCCAGAGGTACTGTGCATTATAGATGATGCACTCAGTTCTATCGTTGATTGATGAGAGACAGTTACGGGTAAGATTGTCCGGATGTCACTTAATATGAGATCTCTCAGTACAAAGATGACTTCTCAGTGTAGTGATACAATGCAGATTACAAATGACAACCATGCTATTCTGTCTGTTCATGAGTTTTTAATGTCTCATGCAGGTGAGTTAACCTAAAATAATTCTATTGCTTTCCAGATGTGATTGGGATGAAATTAGTATTTATTATTCTTAGACATTCACAGGGTGAGTATGCATTTTGTATTGACATATGGCAATTACATGATTATATAGTTCACTAACCACTAAAAACACAGAGATGTAGTCTAATCAACAAGGAAGATATTGTATTATGTAATCTAATTTATGTAAGCAATGGTGAATGATAGATTTTCTTTTTTTGGTAGACAAAAGAAAAGTTATAATGTGCAATACTAGAAAGTGAGTTCAGAGCACAATAAGTTGTGAGCTGTTTGACTAACATGTCTTTGCTTTTATCTTCTTTTAGGTCTCCTCCTACAGATGTTCTGAACAGCTCTGCATCATAGAAATTCATTACTATACGCAGGTACTGCATTTAAGGTTTCTGATGCTGAAAAAAAGAAGGAGAGGGAGGAGTGTGAGTATATATTGGAAGTTGTGTGAATAATAATTGCAGTCAGTAGACTAAGTTGGAGTGAAAGCAAAGTGGAAAGTGAAGCTGCAAAACATCTTACTGTATTCTCAGATGACGACTTAGCTTAGTATAAAGTAACAATTAATCTACATGGGTTGCTGTCACACTATTCTAGATTTACCAGTTTTGACTTTTCTGAATATTACCTTTCTCCAAATGTTTCTGCAAGTTGATTCACTATTTATTTCAGTTCTACTCTTTTTTTTCTCTTCACAGATCTTGAAAACGAAGGAACAGAAACTTTGGGCAATTATTTAGCTTGTGATATTGAAACAATAATGAAGTATTACTGCTTTGCACTCCTTCTGACGGTTCTCAGTGCTGAATTGCTAAGAAGCCGCTGCACTACTGTCAAATCCCCAAGGTTCAGAGGACGTGTGCAGCAGGAGCGAAAAAATATTAGACCCAACATTATTCTTGTACTTACAGATGACCAAGATGTGGAGCTCGGTGAGACATAATTATGTTGTTTGCTGTTCAGTTTCCTTTACACATTTATTTCAGTAGCTTCTGCTATATACATGATACTTGACATTCAAAAATGTGTCTATTCTGCAACATTATCAGACATGTTCAACCAATTTGGAAATTACATTGATAAAAATATACTCTATGTGTTATTGCTGACCTGGTTTAACTCAACTAATTCCAGTTTAGGGGAATCAGCCATGTTGTTCTAAGAATACAGAGCCAAAAAATGTTTCAGAAAACAAAGTCTATTCCTAATATTTGTTAGTTTCAACAATCTGCTTTTATACAGGTTGAACCTCCCTTGTCCAGCACCCTCAGGATGTGAGTGGTCCCGAACAATGGAGTTTGCCGGATGTGGGGAGGTCAAGACTCCCTATCCGGCTGTAAGCTCTGCTTCCAGGTGGGGGCTGCGCATCCTGCCACTGCCTCCAGCCCCACACCATGCCAGGCCTTGCCAGGGCTGCGTCCTCCACCATCCCAACTCCAGTCAGGGGCCAGCCCTGCTGCCTCCAGACCTGGCAGAAGCTGCGCCCCTCCTCCCTGTGTGCCCAGCTGACTCCAGCCTCGGCCAGAATTGAGCTCCCCGCCACTAGCCCCAGCCAGAAGCTGCCCTTCTCACAGTGCCAGCCCCAACTGGGGCTGCACTCCTGGACCCTGGCCCTGCTACGCACTCCTTGCCCCCAGCCAAGCCCAGGGCTGTGTTCTCCCCCACACTGACCCCACTGGGGCTGGGCTCCCAACTGCCAGCCCAGCCCAGGCTAGGATTCTAAACCTGGTCAGCCAAGGCTATCTGGTCCAGCAATATCCATGTTGCCGGACCAGAGAGTCCCAGATTTTAGAGAACGTGTATAACTTTTTAAAAAGTTGAAGTTAGTGTTACATATTGCATGTACCAGATGGATAAAGAGCTATATTTTAGTTTTGTTATATGCAGTATATAATCTCGTATGTTATACACAGATGCAAAATGGACCTAATTGCAGTTCACAAGCTTATATGATTTTTATATAATTTTTAAATATTTTTAAAGTCAAGCTATTTTCATCCCATGTCAAGTATAGGAAAGGAGGCCAGTTTAGTTGTCCCACGTATATGCAGTATTTGAACACAACTTGGAAAACATGTAGGAAATGATTTTCACATATTTTTCTGAAGAAAAAGAAGTTTAAAATATTTACATTCTTCAAGAAGTCCTTCTTGGCATATTTTCCCTTAAATACTCTAGAAAGATAGTAACCATTACATTGGTGTAATTATGGGCATTTTTGTATTTGTTATGATTTGATAATGACTATCCAACTTTTTGGGCTGTTAGTCCATAATTAAGAAATTCATATTTCTTATCTTAGGACTGATCCTGTTATCGGGCATAATGAGGTTTCCCACTGTGCCCACAGAGCTATCTAATCTATTTTACATGTTTTTTCTCCAATCACTGGTTTACTTAACCATGCAGCATAATAAATAGATATCCAGTGGCTATACACAATCCTATATTATTAGTCTAAGAGTTTCTAGAGCTATTTTGTAGATTTGTATCTTACAGTTACAGAAATGTTGCACATTTCTGTACAAGAATCAAGTAGGGTTGCCAATTTTCTAATCACACAAAACTAAACACACTTCCCAAGGCCACACCTATTTCTGGCCCTTCCCAATACCCTGCCTCCTTGCTCACAACATCCTCTCTCCCTTGGTGGGTTGTTCTCCCTCACTCACTTTCACTAGTCTGGGACAGAGAGGTTGGGGTATGGGAGGAGGTGATGGTTCTACCTGGGTATGCGGGCTTTGGAGTGGGGCCATAAATGAGGGGTTCAGGGTTTGTGAGTGGACTCCAGACTGGGGTAGGGGGTTGTAGTGTGGGAGGGGCTATGGATTCTGGGATGGGGGTGTGGCCAGGGATGGTTTGGGATGTAAGAGGGGGCTCCAGGCGGGGGGGTGGGACCAAAGGATTTGGAGAGTGGGGGGTCTGCAGTTGAGGCAGAGAGTGGGGTGCAGAGAGGGTGGGGGTTCCAGCTGGGGGAGCGAGTTCTGGAGTGAGACCAGTAATGATGGGCTTGGGATACAGGATGGTGCTATAAATTTTGGGGGGTTCATGGCTGGAACTGCTGGTTGAGGCTTGGAGTTGGGGGCCAGACTTACCTTGGTTGGCCCTTTATCAATGGCATAGGGAGGGGGGGGCTAAGGTAGGTTCCTGCTTGTTCTGGCACCACACTTCACTCTGGAAGTGGCAAACAGATCTAGCTCCTAGTTGGGGAGGTCACGGGACTCCACACTCTGCCCCCACCCCAGCACTGGCTCCATACTTTCATTGGCCAGGAATCACAGCCAATGGGAGTTGCTCCTTCCCGGCTCCACACCAAACCCTAACCCCATCCTCACCCTTCTCCCAAAGCCCAACCCCTGAGCATGCCCTGCCCCCACTCCTCCCTCCTCCCCCCAGTGACTCCTGTACACTGCAGAACAGCTGGTTGCAGCAAGTAGGAGGTGCTATGAGGGAAGGGGAGGAGTTTATGGGGCTGCTGGTGAGTGCTCAGCACCCACTTTTTTTTCCGTGGGTGTTCCAGCTTCAGAGCACATATTTTGTAATAGAAGAAAATTGCTTTCTGAGTATAGAATCACTGAAGGAAAATAAGTGAAATTCACTTCCCCGGTATATAGGACAGGGAAGTAAAATCCAGAACATAGTTTGCAGAAAGCTGGGAAGTACCACAGTGTGCGTAATAATGTAACCCTTTGTGATGCAAGCAGTTAGGGTGCTGGGCATTGCTTATTTCAATTAGAAGAAATTGATGAAGCCAGCAGTATCTTTGGTGCAATCCTGTGTATTTTACAAGGACTGTACATAAAGTGTCACTACCCCGAACACAGTAGGAATCAAACAGCAGGAGACATTTTCTTTTTGCTCACAATTCCAAGCCTCTTTTCAGCTATCATGCCACCCAAAGTCTCTTCATGTTTTTTTCAGAGTCATGCTACCCAAGTGCTTTCCTGGCTGTCTCCGGGACTACTTTCTAGCTGCCTTCTCTGACTGTCTCCAAACATTTCTCTCTCTAAACATTTCCCTCAAATAGTCCCATCTATTTTCAACCAGTCCCCAGTCAAACTCCTCCATCCACATAGTTCAGATTTCTATGCAGAATGGGGAGCAGGGGTGACCTCTACTGTTGCAGCTATCTATTCCATAAATGTGCTTAATAGCTTTTTACATTTATCCTGAGTGAAGGGTGGCTGTTACACACAAGGCATCCCCCTAGCCTCACTACAACAGTATGTAACCACCACCAGGCAGATTTGAACCTGGGACCTCTGAAGTGGAGTATAGGAGCCTCTACGCTCTGAGCTAAAAGCCAGCTGGCTCCCAGCCCATGCTGTAGAGGTCTCTTGGTCTTAACTGTTGCTGTGGTCTAGGTACTACTTGCATTGCTCAGTAACCACACCTGGGCTATGTCTACACTGGCGGGTTATTGCGCAAGAACATCTTGCATAAGGTTCTTGTGCAAGAACTCTTGTGCAGGAACACGTCCACACTGCCATGTGTGAGACGTCCTTTTGCACAAGAGCATCCATGGCAGCGTGGATTCTCTCTTGCGCCAGAAAGCTCTGATGGCCATTTTAGCCATAGGGCTTTCTTGCGCAAGAAATCCCTGCCGCGTGTCCACACTGCCCTTTTGTGCAAGAGCTCTTGCGCCAGAGAGCTTACACCTGTTAGAAAAGAGCATAGCTTTTGCGCTCGAAGCCCTCTCTTACCACGCCGTACTGTAAATCTTCTTCTGCAAGAGTGGGTGGGCAGTGTGGACGCTCTGCAGAAGAACAGCCATTCTTGTGCAATAACCCGCCAGTGTAGACATAGCCCAGGTGTGTGGGTTACAAGTACATTATACAATGTATAATATCATGAAGGAAATGGGACTTGTCAAATCTCATTGGGATTTCCAGTTGATGGAAAACATCTTTGGTGGGAACCAGATTTGGGGATATGGCTCACAGATTTGGAACCATTGCAATAGTGTATGTAAATTGATACCAATATAGTAGTAAGAGAGAATTAATGTGGCTGTATTTCCTGCCCCCTTCCCCACTGCAAAAAATAAACATAATAATGACCAGCTCTTGAAATCAAAGTTAATCAGTTTTTAGGAATGAGGATGTATTATTTTTCACATATAGGAAATAACATCTTCTAGGTTGGGCAACTGAGAGCTTGAAAATACATTAGAACCATAGACTGTCCAGCCAGTAATGGGGCCCTAGACAGGCACCTTCCTGGTTTATTGTTCATCACCTTCACTAGAACTTTTGAAGTACCAAGAGAGTCACACACAGGAACATAAACTCTGGACTTATTCAAGAATCTTGAAAGGTTCTCTCTGCTGGCTGCATCCTTCCATGGGAGCCTAAGAAATACGTTTTGTTTTGTGATCATTAGAGCTGGCTAGCCGATGCACTTTCAGAGAACTCCATCTCTTGGGCAATTGGAAGAAAATCTCCAGCCGCAGTAATGCTTCATCCCATAAACTTTTGCTCTGAGATAAAGCTTTGGCTACCAGACGTGCTCCCCATTAATATATGCTGTGCAGTCAAGTTGAATTTTTCATCTGACAAAATTTCCTCCTTCATATGTCCAGACAGGATATTCACTGGGATCTGGTAAACTTCAGGTCCTCTCCAATTTAGACATGTACAACATCATTGTCCTGTTGTCTGACATAATTTGCGTATTGGCTCTGAGGACTGTCTCCAGATGGCAAGGTACACAGGCAATGAGGCGAGCTACAGATGGTAGAAGATTGTAACTTGTTAATACCAGCAAGTCTCATCTCCCTCATGTATTTTGCTGTGCAAAGGAGGCAGCCTAACCTGCCTTTGAAGTGTCTATTTACAGAATGTCCAGTGGGGAAAAATCTGTTAAAATCAGCTTTGTAAAGTGCATACCTGGTGGAATAAACACAATAACAACGAGCCAGATCTAACTCTCACTGCAATGAAAGTTGCCTTTCTATTGACAGTAATGTGCTGTGGGAGATATAGCAGCAGCAGAACTGAACAGTTCCCTGCTATTGGTCTATGTTTAGTTGGAACATTTTCTTATACCCGTGTCGATACAGGTATGCTGGGTGTAAAGAACATCAGGGAAAGGGTAATGAACTTTGCTGCCTATGGTCCAATTTTGCAAAGTGTGCATCTTTAAAGGTCACATATCCAAGTACTGCAGCAAAGCAAATTATTCAAAGGAGAGATGTAATGGCTCCCACAGAGTCAAAAATATCTAGTCCAACACCTCATTTTCCATCTCCCACTTAAACAAAACAAAAAAAAGGGAAATTTGATGGGAAAGACTAGGGGTATGCCTGCACTGCATGCTTATTTTGAAATAAACTATTCTGGAATAAATATTCTGAAATAGCTTATTTCGAAATAGCACGTCTACACTGCAGGGAAGTCTTAAAATTAGTACAAGGCAGGCTTCCCTAATGTAGACATGCTATCTCGACTTAGAGCCCAGGATGCACTAGGAAGGAATAACTTAGAATGTCCCTGGTGAGGGGCTATTTCAGAATAGCAGTAGTGGAGCATCTACACATGCCATATTTCAAAATAGTTATTTCAGAATAGGCGTTATTCCTCGTAGAATGAGGTTTACAGATTTCGGAATAAGTCGTCTGTTATTTTGAAATTATTTCGAAATAATGGAATGGCTGTGTAGACACTCACAATGTTATTTCAAAATAACGCTAGTTATCTTGAAATAATGGTGCAATGTAGATACACTCTAAGTCGAATTTCAGTTGCCAATGCTAATATTTCAACCACACTTATACCAACAAACTAGTGTTCAGATAGCCGGTTAACTTGACATCTACTTAACCGTTTAAGAATAATTAAAGATAATTTCAGATATTACATCTGCCCCTGAACTTTCCTGGCAGTTTTGTAACTTCATAGCCACATTTTTCATGGGTTTTAAGTATTTATCTATTTCCTGTTGCTCTGTGATAAACACACACAAAAGAACAGTGAAATTGACTGTAAGCAAAGTGATGTCAGCTGTGCAATGTAAACTAAAAATATAACAAGAGAAGCTAAATCCACTTTTCAAAATTCCCCAGAGCTATAAAAGTACAAAACCCTCTAGGGACTGTTTGTTAGCCTATTGCCACATCCACCTCCCAAGTTTCTGTCTTGTTCGTCAATTGATCATTGCAAAACTTTGGTAGCTATCAGCAAGTATTCCAAGACCCTCGTGCAAATGACCAGGCTCACCATTCCACAGCAGAAGGCTGCTTCTGCTTCGCACCTGAAGATCCTACTTACTGCCCTCATTTTTTTTCTCTGAAATAGTTTGTTGAGCTTCAAAGGGTTAAAAAAAAATGAAGATAACCATCTCCAAGCCCTTAAGCTAGGCCTGGGCATATGACATGATCATAATTAACAGGAGCTGGCTTGGGACTGCTTTTAAAAACCATTTTGCTAATTCAGCGGCAAATGCTAAGCTGACTCACATCACAGCACGTTAGATACTGCAGAGGCCAATGTGCTGCTCCTCTGCACCAGGACAGATTTCACCCAGCGAAGTTATTGTCACTGGTTGGGGTCTCTTTTAGTGTGATTTAAAAACAAAAACAAAAAACAAATAAACAACCTCTGTGCTTTGCCTGTCACTAGATAAACGTATAATTAAGTCACTTCTAGCTGAGTGACTGCAAAAGCTATTGAAGCCTAATGCTCCACTAATTATTTTAAGGGTTTATTTGTTTTGCATGTGGTGCAGTAAAACAATATTTGTTTAATCCTTTTGAGAAGTCAAATAGCCCTTTATAAATAGTATGTGTTTGAGAAGCCCCAGACTTCAATGGGAAACCACTTGCATGATTTAGGAACGGTCACATGAGTAAGGGGCAAATATTAAAACATTAAAATTTCTTATTCCTTAAAGGAGGGAATTGCTTTTCCTTTAAAATTAGAGCGAGCCAATGGAGTGGCTCAACACAATAGGAGAAGAGAAATGTAATTATATATGAATATGCTTAAAAATCAGGTGATATGACATCAATGTATTTTAGATATTTCTTATGTCTGTTTCTTAGTATAATAAGATCAGTTATACTTTATGTCAGGGTCCTTGCAAGTAATGAATAAGACGAGAAGGATCATGGAGAATGGAGGTGCTACTTTCGTCAATGCCTTTGTGACTACACCAATGTGCTGCCCATCTCGGTCCTCCATGCTGACGGGGAAATATGTTCACAACCACAACATATATACAAACAACGAAAACTGCTCTTCTCCTTCCTGGCAAGCAACACATGAACCACGGACCTTTGCAGTGTATCTCAACAACACTGGTTATCGGACAGGTAAGAGACAAGTCCAGCCCTCTGTTCTAGAAAAAGATGGTGGACATTCCGAGTGTATACAGTAACTGGCTTTAAATCACTGCCTAAAATAAGGCAAATGTGGTCTCAAATCAGGAGCAAAGCAGTGGCTGTGATGGAGCAGGGAAAAGGTGTGTGTCATGAGAGAGGGTACCACTACTGGCTATGCCAGATTTACAGCCAAAGATTGCATAAGGAATCCCACTTGTACTAGGTAGTGTATTTGCACATTTGGGTGTCTCGAGTGAGGACTAGGCTGTTGAGCAATTACACCTAGGTGAGAGATGTATGTTGTCATGGCAGTGCAGTGATGCTGAGCAAGCAGCTCTTGGTCAGTACTCAGGCTCAGTTGTGTAGAAGCAGTTATGGGAGGTGGGAATATATTAGTACCACAGTGGAAACTAGCACCAAATGCCCCACGGGAGAGAAGCTGCCTATGGTGGGAGTGAGCAAAATGAAGATGAGAATTTACTATGGGGTAATCTTCACTTTCATTTTCTGAAACTGAAGGTTGAACCTCTCTGGTCTGGCTTCATCAACAAGAGAATTTGCCAGACCAGGGAAGATCTCCGGCCACTGGCCTCCAAGCCTATCACCTGCTGCTGGCAGGCTGCCAGGTGGGCAACCGCCCCGCCCCCCCAATATGACTGGACTGCTTGCCCAGCTACTGCTCACTGACTGGACAGCACAGGCTCCATCCCCATCACTGCACAGCCCCAGCTCAGCCCTGCACAGCTGGGGGAAGCCATGGGGCTCTGGCATCGGCCCAGTGCTCCTGGGGGCTGCAGGAGGTCTCTGGCTCTGGTCTGGCGCTGCCCCAGCCTGGCTGCCAATTGATGTCCCACCCGGCTGGCTCTCCTGCCCTTAATCTCCCTGGCTGACCCATGGATGTTGCCGGACCAGCGAGTCCCGGATTTTCGAGATATAACTGTACACAGAAACATGTATTTAAGGAGGACTGTTCTGGTGAGCAGCAATAAGATTTAATAGTTTTCTTTAAATTCTTGGTGGTTTTCTGTAATCATTCATGCTCCCTTTTCTATCTGCAAAGAACTCTTCTAATTCCTCTCATTTATGCTTCAACTTGATGTGAAACCTCCAGTTCATATATGCATCATCTATCCCTTAAGAATAAGTCTGTAAACATTTTAGGTTCCAGCCTGATTCTCATAAAGATACAGAGCTTCACTAGGTATAAGGGTGCAGTTTGTCCAGACATACTGTTTGACCACAGAGACTCTGCTCTATAGGACCAAAAAGCATAAATCTTCACAATGTATTTGGCAGCAAAGACATCTGTCTCCACTAACAGGTTAGGCACAGGAATGGATTTCTTCTTACAGCAAGAGAATGAATGTCTCTTTATGCCAGTTCTCCTAGTGCTGCAGCATTTAATATCCTAACCTCTATTGGCTTCCACTTCATCTCCCCCCATTACATGTCTCTCTGACATAGTATTGCAGAGCTCCTTGATCCTGTTTAAAATACAAAACCAAGCAAGTATTTATCCTCTTTTGGCCTAATTCTGCCACAGTCACTCACACGGAATATTACTTTACTCTGCGTGGTTCTGCTGATTTCAGCGAGATTACTGTTGAAGTAACAACTTTTAGGTACTTTACAAGGAGAAAAATATTCTCCTTAATGTCTAATGATACTGTTCAACGCGAATAAGGGTGGCAGGATTAGTCCATTTTGTTTTTCTGACGTTTATGGATCTTAGATGCTAATGTGTGTTTTGTAGCACTGCCTTCACATTCTGCATTATGTGCTAGAAACATGTCCTGATTTATGGATTAGTAATCCACATCGGACCTGCCTCACAAGCCTTTACCATATCCATCTGAAAAGCTGCTCGGTGTTTAAAACGTGTTTACTAGCTCATTTAGGGTTCCATGCTGCCACTCATCACTAAAGTATCTGAATGCTTTCCATGCAAAATTGATAGCGATAGCAGTAGCAGACTCTCTTTTGGAGTAAAAGTTCAGGTTCCCTGTGCAACCTTAATTTTTATACCCTGGTATCTATATGTTATGATGCCATCTTTAATTATATGATCACGTGCTATTTGTGTGGGTAATTTTCCTGTTTTTAAAAAATATAGAAAAAAACCAAAAAATCCACCATATGGCCTCAGATTATCACCCACATGGTTCATCAAAAGAGTTGAAACATTTAGATCTCTCATGGACCTCGGACCCTTAAGATAGGAATACTGGATAGAGTTGCAAGTTGTCAAGCTCTGTGCCAGCCAGTGCTACGGGAATATTTGCTGCCAGCAGAGAAATGGCTCCGCAATCTTAGGCTCCATTCCAGGCTCTAGGAGTGTACCGTAATGGAGACAGATCTTCCTACCTATTCCCTTACCTCCTCAAGTTTCATCCCTTTTGCTCTGTCTCCTTCTACCTCTCCCGCTCTTCACCATTCCTCTATTCCTATGTCATCTCAGTCCCATTCTTCTTTATTAGGCAGTCCATTCTCCATTCCTCATGCTTTCCACCCACCTCCAGTCTCCTTGCCAGCCTTCAGTCCCAGGTTCCAACCCTTCCCAAGCTCCTTGTTCCAGGCTGCTTCCCCATGTGCTCTCCCCAGTTCCTTGTGTTGTCCCCTCTGTATTAAAATCTGGCAGCTTTCCTCCTCTAGGACACTCACACTGCCTAGGTCAGATCATAGAGAGTACAAGAGAGATAGGCTCCGGCTCCCAGTTCTGATGTTGACATGGCACAGCCCTGCATTGCAGTTGCAGGAAGAGCCCCAGGCTGGCACATGCTCAGTGCTGACAGAATTTTCAGGGAACCCAGATAGTCTCAAGTGAGCATGGGCAAACTGATCTTTCTTCAAAAGCTTGTAACTAAGCCAGATTTGAGTCGATTTCTGCTGGGACAGCAAAAGCACATTCCCGTCAGATAAATTTCAAGTCCCTGCTGCAAAGAGCGGGGAATCTCTGGCTTTTCAAAGAAAAACTCACAGGAATTTGAACATGGTAGCCTTGTTGTTGGAAATGACTATGGTCTGGCCTGTAAAATTCCACTTGAGACAGATAATTCACATATAAAATTTCAGCCCAAACAATTGAAGTATGGCAAAGTCATAAACCACTGAAAACAGTCTTATAATGGGGCAAACTGAGCAACCTTAAAAAATAGGTACTGCTCCCAGCCTGATATATATGTAAACCAAATGCCTTTGTTATAGATGTATATATAAAAAGACTGGACTAACAACCCGTGCATCAAGTTATAGTTATTAAACCTTAAATATGTCAATCTTACAATGACAACATTGACAGGTACTGAGAAATATCCACAAAGCAGTAAAAATAGAAATATGGTACTGTGGTTAAGTTACAGACCTGGGAACTAAAAATCTGAGTACTCTTTCTGGCACTGCCACAGACTTCCCCTGTCACTTTGGGCAAGCTGTAGATTAAACTCATTTTGTGCCTCAGTTTCCCCATATGTATAAGTGGAATACTGCTTATACTATTCCCCAGCAGTGTTGTTTGTGATTTGATAGCAGTACTATAATATTTCAAAGTAGTGTAACAAGGAAAAAAACCTCTGGACGAGAAAACCCCAAAGTTTCTGGTTTTGAAACTGTTTTTCAGTTAATAGGAAAAAAGTGAGGAGGCGTTGACTGGAATAGTACTGGCCTTTTAGTTGTGTTGGGCTCTGTCCCCAAAAGCATTGAATCATTCTGCGTCAGTGCTGAAATCTCATACAAATAGTTCTTTGCAACTCCAGTAAATGGTTTCCTGATAGCTAGTTTTGTTAAAGGAAGTGGGCTGTCTACCTAAAGCAGTTGTCTGGGTCACGGTGAGTAAACCTTAGTGTAGCATGTCTCTTTAGAGGTGCGGTGAGGTTTTTTTTTAATTCATCCTCTGGTTTTTTGTTTGTTTTGTTAAAATCTAAAATGTTCCTGCAAACATTAATGGGTAGCTGAAGCTTTCATGTGCTAGATGTCTGTTGGTTGATGGAAAGAAAAGGGCTATTTCTGCAGTGTATTTGCGCTGCCTAGCTATGTGGCACCCAGTAGCACAGATGTTAGTGACATGACTAATTTTGTGGAGCAGTGTCTTCAAAATAGTTTGATGGTAAGAAAGAGGTTGGGAAAAAAATTGTATAAATATTGTATAAACATTTAATATTGCAAGAAGGTGAAGCTAAGTAAAATCTCACACTTAGGGTATGTCTACACTTGCACCCTCTTTCAAGAGAGAGATGCAAATGAAGACATTCGAAATTGCAAATGAAGCCGGGATTTAAGTATCCCTTGCTTCATTTGCATAATCATGTTATGGTGCTATTTCAAAATAGTTCTATTTTGCAGTAACAGACTCTGTTAAGATGAGGTTATTTTGAGAGAAACCCTTTTCTCGAAATAACCGATAAACCTCGTTGTCTGAGGAATAAGGGTTATTTTGAGAGAAGGGTTTTCTCTCGAAATAACCGCGTCTTAACAGCGTCTGTTATTTCGAAATAGTGCCATAATGCAATTATGCAAGTGAAGAGTGAGATATTTAAATCCCAGCTTCATTTGCAATTTTGAATTTCTTCATTTGCATCCCTCTCTCGAAAGAAGGTGCAAGTGCAGACATACCCTTAGAGTCCATAAGATACATGTCTCAAATTCTCCAAGGCTTGCTTCCGTGCAACTCCTTAGATACCATTTTTTTTGGGGGGTGGAGGGGAGCTCCAATCCAGTTAAATGCCTTTTACCTAATTCTTGGTGGGAAAGGTAAAAATCAATGACAAGCTTTAAGGATTGCCTTTATACTAGACGCTTGCACTTCACCAGATGCTTATCTTTTGTAATGACAAAAACATTCCTAAATCATAAGGATATCCAGATAACTTCTCTCCTTGCCATGTTATTGTTTGTTTAAACTTAATTGAATGCTGACACACTTACTGCAGTTATCCCAGTGTAGCAAATACTGTGTCCTGGGAACAGTTAGCAAAACAGCCAAAATGCAGATAAAACCTGTCCTATTAAATGCGAAAATCTGCATGCATCTTTGCTGTTGTTCCTGTGGGGGCCATTACATACAATAGTGAAAAGATGTCTCATGAAAATGACATTGCTTTTTAATTAGACTTTTTTCCCATTGAATCATAATCAGTTTTATTCATTACAAACAAAAATGGATTCCTAAGCCCCATAGCTTTGCTGAGCTGCTTCTAAAATTATGCATGCCCTGAGGCTACAGTCTAGTTTGTCTGGGCAAGTCAGAAACTTTAAAGCCAGAGCCAAATCAAGGATGTGGGTTGATTATATGAGCAGAGTGTTCGAAGAGCCCGGGAGAACATTTGGGCATTACAGTGCCAGCTGCCAAAGAGACCGTTGGCACATCCCATTTTCTTTTATGATTCTTCAGTTTTGAACTTCACACAGAATAGCAATAGTGTGTGCTCACAGACAAAAGGTTTGCCACTGTAACATCTGAGTGTTCTGTTCAGCATGGCATGTGTGTTCATTTGCGGGCAGAGAACCAGGCACTGTTCTTTTATTGGCGTGCTCTGTCCTCAGTAATGCTACGAAAATCCATTGAAGACATGGCTAAACTCATGGTTTTAGTAAAAGACTGTCTTGTCCCTCAGTATGTCTAATTATTCTTATCCTCCTCAGCTTTTAACCAATAAATGGACCTTGGCTAATGTAAATTGGCAAACTCAATTACCAAGGCTGCTGTGGTTCCCAGATCACTAGTATTCAGCCTTTCACCATACATTAGAGTAGTAGTTGTGTAAGTGCCTCTGACAACTTTGTGTTAGTTTTTTGCTAATTACTATTTACTATTTTACCACAGAAATAATATCATAGTTGTCAAGTTTAAAATAGCTCCGAGTGACATTTTTCCAAATGTGAGCAAGTGAAATAATCAGGCTTTTGATTCTGCCTGTCACTCTCCATTTCTAATTACATAGCCAAATAAACCCCAACACTGCATTTTAAAGAGCACTATTAAACTTGCAAACTCTAGCTCTCAAAAGTTAGGAAATGCAGAATATTGGGTGCCCAATTTGAAATACCCGAGACATGATTTTCAGGGAATTTAGCATTATATAGCACTTCTTGGATTGGAAGCACAGCTCCCAATTCTTTACTTGAAGCTGTGAATACTCAACGCTTCTTCAAAGCAGATCCAGGATCTTAAGTAGGGAGCCCAGAAAAAGAGGCACACACAATTAATGATCGCCTGCGAAAAATTCAGTTTGTGATTGGCCATAGCAACACATAGAATCCAGTTCTCCAGGGCAGCATTCAGCTGCGTGAACCATGACACCCATCTTTCTCTTCCTGCAATTCTCAACCTTATTCCTACACACCTGTGGCTCTATGGGTTGGACTTGTCATTTTTGCTGCTGCTGCTGCAGAAATGGAGGAGCAGCCTGGACCTCCCACACGACTGTTCATGAGTGCCTACACCCACCCTGGTTTTGAACTGGACAGTCCAGTATTTGAGCTTTCTGTTCGGGAAACAAATTGAGAAAATATAAATGTCCGGTATTTTCTAAATAAGATGTCATGTAGATTGTGATGTAATATCAAGTGTGTCCGGTATTTTTGTTGAAACCATCTGGCAACCCTAGCTCCCAGCCCCTCTCCTGAGGATCCCCACACTGCTGCCTCTCTATGGGTATGGCTACACTAGCCATCCTAGTTTGAACTAAGGTGGCTAATGCAGTCATTCGAACTTGCAAATGAAGCCCGGGATTTAAATATCCCGGGCTTCATTTGCATGTTCCCAAGTGCCACCATTTTTAAATGCCCGGTAGCTCGAATTACCTGCCCACGGCTACACGCGGCATGGGCTAGGTAGTTCAAATTAATACTCTTAATTCGAACTACCATTACTGCTCCTTGCAGAGAGTGAAATGTGCTGATACTCAGCTCCAGGAAGCAAAGCTGGCACCTGTTCTACCCCACTTCCTGCCTTGCTGGCTTCCCTAAGAATCACAGGTGGAGCAGTGAGAAGGGAGACATGGCCACCCACAAGCAGTCCCAGGATAGCCTCCAGTAGCTGGAGGGAGGAGGAGTTGACAGAAAATCTTGCTCACTGTGTTCAGGCCTTGTTTATGAGTAACTTTCAAAGTGTCATTATAGTGGCATCAAGGCAAATGTGTGACTGTCACAATTATACAACTAACCAGTTGGGAGGAGGAATTTCATCAAATGTGAATGATATATGGCATTTTACTAGATGGCCAAAAAGCCATAATTGAGGAAGAAGGCCATATTAGTTTAAAAAATGACCTGATTCAGAGTGGAAGCGAAGGCAGCTATGAAATATATCTATATCCATAGAGGGGTGAAGGAAGAAATAACAAATAAGTTGCCAGGTCTGGATAAAGAAGGTGTATTCTGGCAATAGATCAGGAGCAACTCTCAGAGATAGAACTTTCCATGGGTATGTCTACACTACCCTCCTAGTTCGAACTAGGAGGGTAGTGTAGACATACCCCCTGTTACTTCAAAATAATTTCAAAATAACAAGCTTGCTGAGTTGATGCTCACCTTCCTATTTCAAAAATACAGGAGTTATTTTGAAATAACTCTGTAATGTAGACATGCCCTTAGGGATTATGGGAAATAAGGAGACATGTCATAGTGAGGTAAAATGAAAACGTACATAACCAGCACCCAAAGAATGGCAGCTTAGCTGAGGAAGGACTGGAGAAGACCTAGAGTTGACATTGCTGCAATCTAAGTGAGTCTTGGGAGACAGACACTCTGTAAAACAAAGATACCGTGTTAGATGGGTAAACTTTAGCTACGCTTAATAGCAGCAGACCTATAGCCTGGTTCTTTGGTTGTCTCATCTCCTTCATTTCTGTCTCACAGAACCAGTAGTAGCAGACTGACCAGGTTTGGGGTGACAAGAGTTCTCTTCTGCCCTCTCAAACTAGGCTTATCTAAGATGCATTTTCTTTCCCAAAGGCAGTGTCCTTAGGCTGTATTTTTGTCCATCTGTTCCAAAGGATTGATATGAGTCTGCAATAGACCAATGTCCCTAACTCCCCTGTCCAGCCAGAAAGTGTAGGAATTGGGTCAACTACAAACATTCAAAAATCATAAGCCAAATCCTAAACAACATGAAATTTGGCTTCCTTGTGAGTGTTTTAAAAAAGGGGTTTTTTTTAATTTACCTTCTATGTTTTGAGCATATAGTCTATTTTCAGACTTTTCTCTACAACCGTGATGGCTAGAAACTAATTCATTTTAAATGAAAAATGAGAATCTCGTATGATCATATGACTCCAGATCTGGGGCTTAAGAAAAACACCTAAGATCAGCAGAGTTGGCAAAAGCAGCTATAGGCATGGTTTTGTGATTTTAATTAAAAATGAAACTATTAATATTGGCAGATGTTTTATAATGTGCAACATCTTTACTCATACCAACCCATTTTTATGTTGTGATGAACAATAAAATAGAACCTTCATTCAAATATTTGTACATTTGAGTTGAACTAGAAAATTCAGAGTGAAAATCTAAACTTTTTCTGATGTGTGCACTTTTCTCTTTCACAGCTTTTTTTGGGAAATACCTCAATGAATACAATGGCAGCTACATCCCTCCTGGGTGGAGAGAATGGGTTGGATTAATCAAGAACTCTCGCTTTTATAATTATACAGTTTGTCGCAATGGCAACAAAGAGAAACATGGATTTGAGTATGAAAAGGTATCATCCAGACACATTTACACTGCATCAGATGACTTCACCTTTGATTGATTACATCCTAGGAATAAATGTCATTTTCTCACAGTCATAGAATCAGATAGTTTGAGATCAGTTCTCAAATTTAAAGGTGCCATTGTAAAATGGATAAAAAGCTACGTAGGGGCTTTAATCTGGTTTCTCTTTTTCTCTAAGAAATGGATGGTCCCATGAAAGAAAAAAAATAAGAAAGGCCTATCTTGAAGTAAATATTGTGCCTTATGCTACTGATCTCTTACGTTAAGATGATGGTATTGCTGAGTATTGCCAGTTGTTATCCATATTAAGCACAGCTTATCTGGAACTGTTTTCCATTATACTGTGAGAGGAAAAACAGTGTGCTAGTGATGTCAGGCTCTGGATACGAGAATGAGAATAGATAAGGGCAAAAAACAAGGTTTGGGAAACTTCACACTTTGTTTGTACTCCTGACAAAGTTTGGAATGTATGCCAAGGGGACCTGCCCACTGCAGAGAGATTTCTCAGAACCGTGCAGCACTGGAAATTCTGTGGTTTCCAAATCACTTTATGTAAGCTGGAATTTCCTCAGAACAGAGCTTGTAGAGGATGCTACAGATGCTGCAGCTGTGGTTTCTGACCTATGTAATGAGATTTCACTGGAAACTCACAATAGCTGTTTCTGATTTCCCCAACCTTAATATGACACTGATACAAAGTGTAAAATAGGAAATAAAGAATATTGGTTATTTATAAATTCCTTATACATCTTCTGTGAATAGCAAGACTGTATGATGTTTAGGAAAATAGGAAAAAAGTAAGAGGGCAATAACCCATTCAGTGTCGTCCTGTTAGGGCATTTCATTTTAACAGACTATCAGAACTTGCCAAAACATTGGTACCGTAGGAGGTGACCAGATTGTCATGGTTCCTATTAATATGAAGTCAGTCTTCTCCACATCACTACAGGAGAATTGACATCTAGGCTACTGTATCTGCTGTGTGTGAGAGAGAGAGAGAGAGGAGGGGGGAAGAGAAAGAGAGAGATTACAGCTGGTTGGCTTGTCCTAACACTGATATGCATGTGACACAGATCCAGTCCCTCAGGCATTGCTTTCGCAGCTGTTTAGGGCCTTGAATCCACAACATGTGATTAGTCATGCCTGAAAGTGCTTGAAATTGCAAACATCATCTCAGAACTTTCTCAATGAAACTCACACTGGAGCTCCAGGCCAACAAAGAACGCTTAGAGGTGGCAGGTGGTTTAATTTAAGTTTTCATCCTTTTTTTTCTTCTTTCCATTTCCTCCTTTTCCCTTGTAGAGTCCCATTTGCCACCTTGGCTGTGGGTTAAGCCAGTTTATTAGCAAATAACAACTTTCACCTCAACAGCTGCAATTCTTTATGTTATACAATTAAAAGAACAGACCCTGCAGGAATTCAAATGCTCCCTATATTTATATGTTTGAATGCAATTTCTTTGATAAAGCCACTCCTAGACAACCATATTTTTGCAATATGTTCAGTGTTGTAGACTTCTCCCAAATCGCATAGAGGGAAATCTATATTTTGAAGAAAGGATGCAATAAAGACTTACTTGTAAATATGAAATGATATTCGGTATGGGTGGTTTCTTTCACTTTGGAATCATGTTTTTACAAGGAACTTTATCAACAAAATTTAAGACATCTTTGTGCTTAAAAACACCATGTTCCCAAGTCTGGTAATATTATTCAGTTAATATAATCTTACAGGTAAGCACATTTTGCAAAATACATTCCCATCTAATATACCTTCCTCAGAAAGTAATTAGTGCGTAGTGTGTCCTGTGTTCTTTATGGTCATGTGTTCTTTGAAGGTACATTTTTACTTCCTGACCTAAGCACTAATGATTACTTGGTATAACAAAATACTGTGATCTGATTAATGATGTGCACTTTGTAATTTTTATTTTGTGTTAAATGTATGTTACAGGACTACTTCACAGACTTAATCACTAATGAGAGCATTAATTACTTCAAAATGTCTAAGAGAATGTATCCCCATAGGCCCATAATGATGGTTATCAGCCATGCTGCACCTCATGGCCCTGAGGATTCTGCACCACAGTTTTCAGAGCTTTATCCAAATGCTTCACAGCACATGTAAGTAAAATTTGGATTGTGCCATTGCTGGGAGTTTGTATTGTTGTTTATTATTTTTCATGGAAACTCTGCAGGAACATAAATTTGAGGGATCTATAGTGAGCAGCAAATACAAGTCCTTTTTTTTATTCTCACTGTATACTGTACTGGTTCCTTTAGGGATAGACAATACCAATTTTTACACTTGTGAGGAACTCATTTCTCTGGATAAGAGCTCTTTATTGGAAAAGCACAAGGTTCTTTGCCACTTTGTTAATGCAGCTTCTTACAATATGTTGACACAAGAGTTGACGGTGGGAGAACCTACTGCAAAGATATTACTTCCTTCATGTTCCTGTAGGACATAGTTTTCCTGAGAGCTGATTAACTAACTATGCTCATGGTGGCAGTGTCCTTCAGCAGGTTTTGTGCAGATGTTCATGCCAGGCTTGCTGACAGAGCAGCAATTACATGATTCCCAAGCAACCCGTCAGTCTGGTCTTTTCAATAACATACTTATTATTTTTGGAAAGTGGCTATGCTGTTCTAATAGCTGTTCCTATTGGCTTTGGGACCAGTAAATGATTGATTAAAAGGTTTTGTGTTTATTTGAGGAACTGGGGGCACAGGCACAGTGTCTCTTTTTGTGTGTTGTCGTGTGTATGTGTGTGTGTGTGTGTGAGTGTGTGCGTGCAAGTAGGTTATAGGCAGCAGCAGATCCTAATCAATTTATTTCTGTTTTAGATTATAACATAAGAGGACTGTAACATTTCTGTTCTAACCCCTTTATATGGATCAGTGAAGCACAGACATTGTTCCAATTACTACTAATCCTTTCATTCGTGATCACGTGGATTAACTTCCCCAGTCACTTGTCCCTGATGGGCTGGCCTTTCTTGTCCTTGGGACACCCAGCTTATTTTAGGACCTGGCAGGTTGAACCAGAAGCCTGGCAGGAACTCTGTGCTGTTTTATCCTGTTTCTGAAGACTTTCTGACTTCTTGTGTTTGGAGTCTGGATTCACCTGGCTTGCATTGGGGGAACCAATAAAGTAAAAAAGTTCCCATGGGTTTAACAGTAAAGGAACAATTAAAATTTTGTTTTGCAAGGCCATGTGGATTGCAGTTGTCCATTTGAAAATTTAATTTGCTCTGAGTATTTGTGCAACCTATTCTTCATATTATTTGTATAGACTGGAAAACTATCCATCAAAATAGCTTTATCTGCTAAGCTGCTTGTTTTGGAAACCAGAAAGCATGAATCAGGTGTGTCTCTTCCTGTCTATCTTGGTGGCCTGGATTTCCTGACATCTTTGTTGTAAAGTGTTCCTTCTCTAGCTGCCACGAGAGAGAGACTTGTGTGGATTGTTTTATATTTCTTGTGAATGCCTGTGCAGGTTAAGAGTTCAGTCAGCAGACAAAGAAGTGAGACAAATTGAAGACAAACTGCCAATCTGGGTGCATGAAGCTACTAAACAGCTAATTTCTAGAGCAAAAGCATTAGCAACATGTTCTGACTAAAGGAAAGAAGTTACATGTCTCACACAAATATGTGGCTGTCCTGTGAAAACAGTGCAAGAGCAATAATATCCCTCTTTCTTGGGTTAGTGTAACTTGAACATTTAACCCTTGGGTTTTCTACCTTGGTGGTCAAGCATCATTTGGATCGCTTTTGTCTGTCCTTGGGTTACAGCCGTCTGACCTTCAATTTTGTTTTTCAAATGTAGTTGTGATATCATGTTACTGTAATCCCTCTCTCCAGTAAAGAAAGGAAACCAGGTTGAACGCTGCTTACTGGCTTTGCAAACTGAGCTGGAAGGTTATGCCTACAGATCAAGAATTCAGTTTCTCAGCCACATGCAAGAGGAGATTCTGTTTAACAAGACAGTAGCTTAAACGTGCCTTTAAATTATGTATCATTTCATTGCTGGTAGAGAGTCTCTATTGCTTGTTGTTTAAAATACTATCTGTTTTAAAAAATAGAGGTTAGTTTGATTCAGAATGAGATATGGGGTTCACCTATATGAAGGGCAGCATCGTTGTCATTGTGAGATTTCTATTCCTCTTTGATTTAATATTTGTGAGGTGTTTTTGTCCTCACCTTCTTGATTCAAAGAGGAAAGTCAAATGCACACAGGTAGAAATTTCCATATTGTTTTTAATCTTTTCTTGTCCAAAATAGACATGCCAAAGAGAAAAGATAGACTTGCACAAAGCTGCCATCTTTCAGCCCCATCCTTCCACTTCCTCCATGCAATTGAACATGCACCCATTGAATGAAAACACTTAATAAGACAAGCAAAATGGAAATACTTGCTGTGACTACTTCTGAGGGTTCACTTGTTAACCCCATCATCTTCAATTTAAAGTGAAAATCAAACACTCTCAGATTCAATAAAGGATTACATCTTTTTTAATAAGTACAAAGAAGATCATCTCTGTGCTCTTGGATTTTTTTTCTGAGCCATATAGTGTTTTCAGAGGTAAAAGAATTCCTGGCCTATGTCTACACTACAAGTTTTTGCGGCAGAGAGTATGCTAATGATGGACTCATTAGCATGAGTCGAGATGTCATTAGCATATTTTCTGCCAATTTTTTTTGCACAGGGGGGTTTTGCACAAAGAGAAGCAGTGAAGCTGCTTCCATTTTGCTCAAAAAACCCCTTTTGCGCAAGATCCTTATGACTGTCCCAGAGATGATAATGCGCTTAGTAGTGTGGATGCTCCACTTATGATTTCAAAATAAGGGGAGTTATTTCAAAATAACTGGGTACTGATTTATGTCCATTTATCCTTTGTTGCAGAGACTGTCTGTGACATATTATTGTCATGAGGTAAAAGTTATATGTCCTTTCCCTTCGATCTAATTTCAAGTGACTTTTTTATTTATATCGATGCTTAGAAATCAAATTACAGATTTAAAAATAAAACCTTGACAGGACCAACTCAGGAGTAAGAGAAAAATGAGTCAATACTGTAAAAAGACTGATTTATTAACCTATATAATTCCCTTTTTCCCTTCCCACTACAAACTGAAGTGAAGTGGGTATTTAACCTTTAGTTCACTCTGTATACTATAGGTGCAGTTTCCCTATTGATTGCAGCCACTGTGAAGCTATTTATACCAAGATGTATTTTAATATATTACAGTGCCAGCAGTCAACAAATCATAAAAGAAGTTATGTGCCTTTCATGAGGAGATTGCAATATAAATAGGATAAGCAGTTGGAGGCCCAGATGATGATGGCAATAATTGAAGGACTTTGCAAATGTGCACATTCAATGGGACTACTTAAGTGTAAATCTACTTACATGGTTAAGCATTTGTAGGGCCAGAGCCTTACACAAGTAAATTCTTGTTGCCTTTCCTGACATGGAGCAACATTTCAAAATAGATGTCACCTTTTCCCAGTTGTTTTCCATGGGCTAATCTTTAGTAAAGTAATGTGAAGAGTTGTTAATCCAGGTCTTCAGAGAATTTTGTTAAGCAGTACAATTCAAGGTGCTGTGTATTAAACTGGCCTTCAATATTGCAAGCACAATTTTACTTCCACAATTAAATGTAGGCTCAAACTTTTGGGTGCAGTTGTCCTTTCTATGTTACCTTTTGCATCTGCAGATATGTTTTTGAAGGTCAAATCAAACAGTTTAGCTTTTAAATGTATGTAATAGTGAACTAATATAATAAACTATTTGCTCCCACATTTTAATTAGAGACCATGTTTACGTAGTGTCCATTGTCTCTTCAGTATATGCATACAGTACTCCTAGCCGTTACATATGTGTATCAAGTAGAGAGCATCCAGCAGTTTTTGACTGCTGTATCTAACAACGTTTATTAAATAGCAAAGATATTAAGTGTTGTGCTAGTATTTGTAAATTTCTCATTGTAATACATAATTACATAAATAATATGTTTGTTCACTCCTGGCTACAGTTAAGCCAGCAGTGCAATGACAGGCTGTTGTGCTGCCAAGAAGGCAAGCCAGCTGCCGAGGTAGGCTTAAGTCTCCTGTTCCCAAGGCCACTGTCAGAAGCATCCTAGTTATAATGGATATTCTTCAACAGCCATGCTCCAGGGATGAGTGGTACAGTTAAAACCTTTCACAAACACTTTCCAAAGGTACTTTTAATCTCTGGGTGAAACAGCAGATATTTACAAAACAAGGCAAATTTGTCTTCTAGATTATTTATGGAGCAGCACGAGAATTGGCATTCTGTAAAATATGCAATATTGGTGTCTGGTGGGGAAACACGAAACAGAGTTTTAAAAGGAGAGGAACCATATATAATGAAGAGACAAGAAAACCTTAGAATTTCCACCATTTACTAAAACCTTGTGTTCTAAGTGAAATAAGCTATAACTATGTGATCTGTTGTGCCAGTGTACTCATATGTAGCTCTAGGTCAGTATGGAAAAGGAAGCTGGAGACCTGTTCTCCCTTCCCTTTTCATCAGCCAGGAGCAACCTACTCCCTCACCAAAAACCTGCCTGATAAAAGCTCCTCCACCTGGCCTCTCAAACGAGCCAGGGGATGCTGACAGCATTCAGAGGTGATCTTCTCACCTGAAAAACAACAGGTGACCCATCCTCCAGCTGACTGCTCAGCCCACCACAGCAGAGAATATCGTGGTGACTAACCCGTTACCAGATTTGCCCAATACTCTGGGGTATGCTCATTTATTAGGGTTACTCTTCTTAGGTGCGGGGGATGTTGACAATTCTATCATTGTGCTTACTTGTGCTCTCCCTGACTTCTCCCTGCTGCCAATTCCCCCTCCCACTGGAGCTCTCCTGCAGGAACTAGGTTCCTTAGGATGGGGTTCTTCCCACCTTAGTAACACGTTGACACTTACACCCACTAAAGAGCATACCTGAGAGGATTGGGTAATCAGCACTCACAAGCTGACCCCTTAGTTGTCCCTGACTCAACAGTCTGGGTTAACAGTAATGCCACACTGCTCCCTCATGTGCCTTTGGACTCAGTTAGGCTAGATTTAACAGCACTTTAAGCTGCCATC